ATGCTGCTGGAGACAAATTGCATCTTAATCACTTCTTAAATCATCGATTATACCACAGAGCGAATCATCACAGAAGTCATCCATGGCTAACATAGCTTGATCTATATCAAGGATTAGGTCTTCATCATCCCTTGGTGTAAGTATGGAATCTAAATCTGAGAGTTCAGCAAGATCCGGCAGCGGTGGTTCCTCAGGAGGAGGTGCATCTCCATTCATCTCTTCTTCTCTATCATTTTGTTCGTTGCAAGGACGTTGTTGTTCTTGCGTCATCATGTGTAGAAGTTCTTCAGCGATTGTTATTAACTGGGCTACACAGTTAACAAGACCACCAAGCAGAACAGGAATCGACACTGACTCCATGCCTCTATGCCCTTCTCAGTAGGTAATATATGACTAAAAGTTGCCACAGATGGGATCCTGATGACAAGGAACCCTGTGGGCTGTCAATGGCACTGTAGTTGATTTAGACAAGAAATAAGGCTGTTAATATTATGGTGATGACCAAGTATAAAATGAGGCCAGTAGTCCTACAGTACTTTTTGATGATGTTGATGAACTTCCCACAAAGTTTAAACTAGTAGAGGACTGCTGTTATAATGATCATCAGACAGATTGCCATAGCCAAGAGACAACAGCAAAACAGATCTAGTAACAAAAAAAGAGAAACATAAAGATTAGTATCTGTACATCTTTATCCATCTTACAGGTTCTGGCTGCAGGATACCCCTATCACGAGTTATCCAGAAGGCTGACCTGGTTTCTCTACATATTGCCTCTCCTATGTTGATGACTTTATGAGAAGCTAGTACTCATACCATACTTTTCCCTTTGAACTTCACATAGGCAGCTTATCTACTTTTCTTGAACAAGTCTATTGAGGAAGATACATTCATTATGAGTCTTTTCAACTGACTGTTTTTATTAGCACCTTTGCCTCATTGCCATTTATATCTTGCTGCTGCTACATTTTTTTTTCTTTTTGGTATTTTTTAATAATCCAGTTGCCCTTGCAGTCTGGAGAGTGTATGGTAAATCAAAGTCCTACATGGCCTTTTTTTTTGCCAAACTTTGGACAACTTAAGCTATAAAATTAATTCCTTGGCCATTTTCTCTTAGTGTCGGTTTTCCATATTTTCCAGCTAGTTCTTATTTGTTTAAAGCCAAGGATATACTATTTTTATCTGAATGTTTGTTGTTGTGGTGTTAAGTGCCATCAAGTCAGTTCTGAGCCTTAGCAACCCTGTACAGGACTTTCCAGGAGTGGCTGGGGAATTTGAACTGCCAACCTATGGTTAGCAGTTCAGTTCTCACAGCACCTACAGAACCATACCAGGACTCATTTGTTAGACTATGCAAATCCTGTTACTAAGTAAAGCAATATTGATTATTTTTAATCTAGGTCCAATATAATCTATCTTCCATATTTGTTGCGTTTACCCCCACCCCTTGATGAATTTGTTGAAGATGCAATAAGTTTTTGGTAATTTGACATATCTCATATTGCTTAATCAGATGTTTGTTTATTTTTTATTTGTTTGATTCATAGATAGCTCCCCTCTACCCCACCACCCCTTTCTCATCTGCTTAAGTAGTGCGTCTGTGTCTACAAGAAACATGAGCCAGAACACGAGTAGATATATGCACAGTAATGTTTATCGCAATACTATTTAAAATAGCAAAAAGATGGAGACCTAATTGCTCATCAGTGGAATAATGGATAAGCAAAGTTTGCTACCCTGAAGAATAACAAGGAAGCGGAAAACCACCACATAACATGGATGAACCTTGAGGACATTAAGCTGAGTGAAATTAGTCAGTCACAAAAGAACAAATATTGCATAAGACCATTATTGTAAAAGCTTAAGGAAAGATACCCATACTAAAAAGTTAGTGGACAAATGTAATTGAAAAATAGTGGGAGTTTTTCAAGAACTTATTGAAGTCCTCATATGGTGTGAAGCTCACATGTCTATTCCGCAATTTTAAACTGAACTACTGAGGAAGCTGCGGTGCCGTGGGTTAATGTGCTGGATGGACTGCGAAGTCAGTGTGAACCGCAAGGTCGGTGGTTCAAGCTGACCAGTCGCTCCTTCCAAACCCTATACAGACTTGCTATGAGTCGGAACTGACTCAATGGCACTTAACAACAATGATAACAACTGAGGAAGCTGAGTTAGGACCTGGACTCCCCAAGTTCTATAGAGTCTATGTTGCTTTGGGGGATCAGATTGATTCCTCCCTCATTTCAGCGTCAGTCAGGCCTTCCATACTGAAGAATCTTAGGGAGCAGCCATCATTTAACTCTTGCAGGATACTGCCAAGTCTTTAATTGCCTAGTGTCTAGAAATTCTGACCAAAGTGGGACCCAACAATGCATAGGAGGTTTCACAGCCAGCTGACCCTATCTCTAGGATTTTTCTTGAATTACATCAAGTTGTCCATCATATGATATCTGTGGCTTACTGCTCTCCCACATGGCTTGGTTTGTCCCACTCGATTTTTTATGAAAGGGCTTCAGAAAAATTCTTGGGAAAATTCCATTACCTTTCTATTCCATTTTCAACCAATTTTTTGTAAAGTCCCCTCTTATACTAACATAAGTCTTATCAGAATCACATTTGTTGCTGTTGGAAACTTTCCATCTGAAATCTAGGAGAATGAGTATTAGACAGCATAGACAGACACTTTATTAACTCAAAATATCTCTGTTTTTTTATTAGAGAAAAAGTGGTATCAGGGAAGGAAATACAGAAGAAAGTGATACTGAAGTGCCGTCAAGTCAGTTCCGACCCATAGAGACCCTGTATAGGATTTCTGAGGAGCAAGTGATGTGCTTGAACTGCCGACCTCGCAGTTCAGACGGTTTTGCAGTCTGGCGCATTAGCCCACAGCACCACAGGTGTGTGTTAAATAACGCTATAGAGTATCCACACAGTTTTAAAAGAAAGCAATAACCTACTATTATGCACATAGCTCAAAATACAAGAGGGTGCTATGTACACACAAACCTATTTAACTTCTGGCTTCCTTATCAGCACTTCTTTTTTGTTTGGAGTTAGTTTGTGTTTTTATGTCTTCTTTGTTTTGTTCTTCTTAGCTTCTCTACATCCCTATTAAAAACAAATAAAAATCTCATTGCCATCGAGTCTATTTAGACTCACAGCAATCCTCTGTTGTTGTTCTTGTTGTTGTTAAGTGCTGCCGAGTCGGTTTCGACCCATAACGACCCTGTGTAGGGTTTCTAAGGAGCAGCTGGTGAGCTTGAACCTCCAACCTTGCAGTTCAAACCACTTTGCAGTCTGGCGCATTAACCTACAGTGCCACACCAGGGCTCCAGCAACCTCTAAGACAGATTAAAACTCCCACATTGAATTCCCAAAGCTATAATCTATACAGAGGCAGACTCCACACCATTCTTCCATGTAGCAGCTGCTGGGTTTGAACCGACAAACTTTTGGTTAGGAAGTGAGCAATTAACCACTGTGCCACAAGAGCTCCTTCTATCTCCCTATGTTGTTGTTGCTGTTAAGTGCCATCGAGTCAGCTCTGAATCATAGTGACCCTGAATAGGATTCCCTAGAAGCAGCTGATGGGTGTGAATTACTGACTTTGCGGTTAGCAGTCTAGTGCTTATCCTACAGCTCCACACCAAAACCCCTCTTGGTCAGCATGTTTCTATTTATTGACCTATGAATTTCATTCTGTCTCACTTTCTCCATCTCTGTCTTCTCCTATCTCTTTACATCACCTTTTCATCCATCTCCCTCCCTAAACTGTGCAAAATTTAGAAATTAATAACATTCCACTCATCAAACTGATAGTATACTTATTGAGTTTTACATTTCATGTTCTAAATATAAAAAGCAGAACAGTAGAATATTTCATATTTTGCTCTCCTTTCTATGAAGACAAATTACTTATACATCCCTTGATTTAGGTTTTCTGTGGCTCAGTCACTTTTTCTTAGAGAAAAAAAAAATTCCCGATCTGCCCTTGACCTCACACAGAACCCATTTATCCTATGTTCCCCAGTTCACAATTCTTATCAAAGCACTTAGAATCCAAGAGTTTGGGGACGGGGTCAGTTTGAGAGACTGCTAAGTACTGCAATGCCAAAAGGGATATATATTTTTTTAAGTTGCTGGAAGTAAGTATTCCTTAGAACAATCAACTATTTGAGATCCAAAGGGCTGCACTTGCCCAGGGGCAGAGGTCCCCAAGCAGGAAGAAACAGGAAAGAAGGGCACATGGAAAGGGGAACTATAAGGAGGAAGTGGGAAGAGTGCTACTACAGTGTGGGGATTGCAATCTGTGGCATACAACAAACTGTGTATGAATTGTTGAATGGAAAACCAATTTGCTCCATAAATGTTCATCCAAATCACAATAAAAAGTTCAAAAAGAAAATTGCTGTGATGTCTATTCACATGATATACTATGTTGGGACTGACAAATTGAGGACGAATAGTGTCACATTAATCAACGAAAATAACATTTCAAGATCTATCTTAAAAAAAGTATAATACTATGTGTTACAGGATAATATTCATATACCTACAAGGAGGACCAGTGAATACATTATTATTCAAATTTATGCACCAACCACTAAAGCTAGTGATACAACTGAAGAATTCTACCTACTTCTTCAGTCTGAAATTGATCAACCATGAAATCAAGATGTGCTGATCATTACTGGTGATTGGAATGTGAAGGTTATAAACAACGAGGAAGGAGCAACAGTTGGTAAATATGGCCTTGGTGATAGAAATGATGATGGAGATCATAGGATAGAAGTTTTCAATACCAATGGTATTGAGTTGCAAATGCCTTTTTTTTTTTAACATAAAAGACAACTATATACATGGACCTCACCATATAGAATACACAGAAATCAAATTGACTACACCTGTGGAAAGAAACAACGGAAAAACTCCATATCATCTACCAAAACAAGACCAGAAGCAGACTGTGGAATAGACCATCAATTGCTCATATGCAAGTTTAATCTCAAGCCGATGAAAATTAACATTAAGTCCTCGAGAGCCAAAATATGACTTTGAATATATAACACCTGAATTTAGCGATCATCTCAAGAACAAATTTGATGCATCAGACACTAATGACCAAAAAACAGAAGAGTTGTGGGATGCCATCAAGAACATCATACAAGAAGAAAGCAAAAAGTCATTAAGAAGACAAGAAAGACAGAAAATACCAAAATGGATGTCAGAAGAGACTCTGAAACTTGCTCTCCACTATATAGATGTTAAAGCAAATGGAAGAAATGAAGAGGTAGAAGAGCTGAACAGAGAATTTCTAAGGTCAGCTAGAGAAGACAAACTCAAATATTAAATAAAATG